GATTTTGGGGTTTTCCTTCCATTTTTAATTTTTAGTTTCCACATCGCCTTTGCACGAACACCGCCAAAGATTAAATTTCCTATTCTATGGGCCGCGGCTAACGGCGTTCATCGAAAATTCACTCGCAAAATCTGGTATTTTTTCTGGTATTTCCTTAGCTTATGTGAGTACCGCGCTGAAAAACAGACCCGACGAAAAGCGTTAGCTGCGTATTTGCCTCTCGCTCACTCCTATGGTTAGCTCGCGGTTTTGGTCGATCTGAGTACTAGGCTTAAAGCTTAGTACACAGATCGGCTAAGAGTTTCACTAGTCGAAAAATCTTATTTTTTGTAGTGTGACCGAAGTTTACAAAGTTCACCCGCAATGCATGTGGCATGGTCTTACTGTCAAGCATTTGGGCTTGATGCCAAACGGAAAACAAATCAAATGGAGCAATTTAAAAAAAAAGTCTGCTGGTGCATAAAGAAATTAAAATAAAAATAAATGAAATTTTCAACAAATGTTTTTATTTATGTAAATTATAAGTTTAAGGCTTCCTTCTCGTCCCACGGATGCTTCGCTATCTTTCCCGCGCCATCTGCAGTCCAGCTCCGGATCCCAATAGGCTGGCCAATAATGGCTGGTGATGGCTCCTCCAGCTGTCCCTTAGCGGGCGACCTTATTCTCTCCTCCCTATAGAAGCCGGCGCGTCTTCCATTTCCACTTTAGCTGTCAAGTAGCTTCAACTATTCTGCATATTTGCCTCGTTGTGGTATTGCTTCCACAATAATGGGCAACAGCTTGGATTAGGCGTCCTTTTTCATCTGCACTGACCTCCTTTAGCCGTTTTTGGTTTTTTTTTCAATCATTTTTAAATTCCCCACCGCTTCTGCACGAATACCGCCAAAGATTAAATTTCTTATTCTTTGAGCCGCGGCTAACGGCGTTCATCGAAAATTCACTCTAGAAATCTGGTATTTTTTCTGGTATTTTCTTAGCTCATCTGAGTACCGCGCTGAAAAACAGACCCGACGAAAAGCTTTTGCCTCTCGCTCACTCCTATGGTTAGCGCCCGGATTTCGTCGAAGTGAGTACTAGGCTTAAGCCTCGATAAGACAACAGATGTCGATTACATTGTGAACTCGATTGTCAATACACAACGAATGTACTAATTGAAGAAGAAGAAGAGAACACTGAACATTTAAATAAGGATTTAAAATCATTAGACTAAAAGCATTGTTGGGGCGGGGTGGCTTGATCGCTGAAAATAGTTGAAGTCCCAAGAACGAATGGTACGCAAAACTCACGGGGCTACTTTGGGGTTTAACGCGACGTGCGTAGATGTTTATTGGTTCACTTTGAAATAAGGACTCGTTAAGCCTAACTTAACTTAAGCGATCCAGAGCGGAGCGGTGACTTAGGGGAGAGATGGAAAGGGAGAGCGAACGGCAGTGCGAGCGCGCGAGATGTAGACATCTGGATAAAACTGCCGCTCGACACTGCCTCCTCAAATTAAACGCCCTTAGGTTATGTTAGGTTTGGGCGGCTGTCGGACTATGGTCCGACCTTAGACCTTAATGGGTCCATTGTGATACCGCAAGATCTCGTTTTTCCTTCTCTAGGGTCCCGTTTCTAGTAGTTTCAACCTGTGTTAAGCTGATCAGCATGTCTTCCACACGGAAGATTTAATAAAGGCACTAATGTTTTTGAGAATAATCTGCGATATTTCGGTAAGACCGTCTGTTGGGGCGGGGTGGCTTGATCGTTGAAAATAGATGAAGCCCCAAGATCGGATGGTACGCAAAAAACACGGGAGTACTTTGGGGATTTTACGCGACGTGCGTAGATGTTTATTTGCACCCTTTGAAATAAGAACTGCTTAAGCCTAACTTAACTTAAGCGCTCCAGAGCAGAGCGGAGACTTAGGGGAGAGATGGAGAGGGAGAGCGGACGACAGTGCAAGCGCGCGAGATGTAGACATCTGCCGCTCGACACAGCCTCCTGGATGGATTGCTCCCATAATGAGAGAGTGAGATTTGGTAGTTTTGTCGAGCACATATAAACCAGGATAGGGTCCCAATTCTCAATATTAACACCGGAAAATTTTAAGAAAGTTAAGCAGCCTTGAAAAGTGCGTGCTGCTCCCGACACCTGTGCTATGGATTGCACATTGAAAAGTGTTTTCAGGTGCCTGTTCACCTGCAATCGCTTATTTTCGAAACGCTCAGTTAGGTTATTCCAGGCTGAGCGAAAGCCGTCATTGGTGAGTGGGAATCTTGAAACTATGGAATGAGCTTCGCCACTTGTTTTTGAATTTAAATGGAATAATTTTTCAACGGGCGTTAGACTAGGATTGACTATGTATATGGCCGTGAAAAGGTCCCGGAAAGTCGGCCAGCGAGATAATCGCCAAAAATAACCTCTGTGTCGATAGGAGGGAGCCGTCAGCCATATGATGAGGAATTTTGGGACGGAGTTGATAGTTGATGTTGCCATGACGTAAAATAATTTAGAATTTTTATTCAGAAGTAAGGAAACGGGCTTAAGTCTACTTGGAATTTTAATTCAGAAGTAAGGAAACGGGCTAGAATCCAGTTGGAATTTAGGAGCAGACGGATAGGCAGAGTCAATAAATATTTATTATATCGGATGGTCGGACTTATATAAAGAATTACGGACTTTAATTTTGTTTGTTTGAAGGGAACATTTTTTGTAAGCCCTTGACCCACTGTGCACTGCCGAAAATATCGATATACGTATGTATGTACACTGTACATATGTACATATGTGGCGTGGGAATAGCGGAATAACGTTGAGGGAATTGTACAGACTGGCGGGCCATCTGGGCATTTGAAGATTAATCCAGGTTCGATCTGGGATTACTTTAAATGGACCATGTAATATGGCGGGGGGTATGAACGATGATCAGCAGATATCGAGATAGTCGCGGCCATACTGTCCAACCAGGCAGATGTAGCTAGAAGTAATACTATACACTTTTTTTGTGCTTAAAATTAAATAGCAGCCGGGGTCCCAACACAAAGGGCCCCGGAATATTTATTTGGGAGTTCACTGATGTCTGCGCGACTTCGCCATACCTACCAGCCCGACTTGGCTGCCCAGCAACCGGTGTCCGTTCGACCCGTACCAACGACCTGCCACAAAAGCCATTCACAGTCGACGGCGACGACATCAGATATTTCCCGGTGATTCCGTTCCGGGAAATTCCAGCCGTCGCATCGCGGCGCTGAGAAGTATCGCCATAACTCACCGGAGAGCGCCAGTTTTCCTTCTTGGAGACCTGTATCGCTGCTGGCCTCCGGCGGGAAGTCCTTAGCCCGGGCTACCATCGCCTCCAGGCCCGGCCCAATAGTAGCTGAAGTTTAGGAAAAATTAAATACACGTGTACCTTGGTTATATATATATATTGATATTTACTTCCCTGTTTGTGAATTTATCCGGAGTTAGACCCGAGAGCCTTATTTGTCCTCGTTGTTTGCCTAAAATTAAAAAGGTCGCGAGCATTAGTTAAATGGTGCAGTGCAGTTACGTACCTTTTTGGCCTGTCCCTTCTTTTCCCCTGGAGCTCCTCAGGATTAGGTGACCATACACACGCGCTTCGCGCATGTTCCTTTGCGGGCCGCGTTTCCATGCGAGCTCTAGCAATACATGGCTGGTAGAGCATAATTTCCGCGGCGCCTGTACCCTTTTCCAGCAAAACCAATCCTCTGCTTGGACCGCGTAAATATTTGAGACGGAGGCCAGGTTTCGGTCTTAAAGGCTGAGGAAGGATAGATCTGTTAAGAGGAACATGTATATAAACGATTGTACTTACGATATTTATTAAACCTTTGTAAAACCCACTATGTGTGAGTAAGCTTTTCCAGTGGGGGAGATGGAACCGCCGTAGTCGCGAGGAGGGGGCTCCTGCCGACTGAGAATGGGTGGTGCCCTGCAGCATCTTGAGGGCATCCATGGTTGGGTGGGAGCGCTTGGCTAGGTCATCAATAGCCACCAAATTAAACCGATTTTCCCGTCAATGTTTGCAGGTATTTACCTTTCTTTGCGTTTTTGTTCTTAGTGATGACCGCTTGTTTGTTATCGTGAGACAGTGGAGTTATCGATTTTTATGTTGCGAGCTGTGGCATTAGGGGTACTGTGCCCTGAGAAAAGACTGAGCTAGCGGCACTGCCACCAAAAAAAAACAGTTTGTAACATATTGGCGCCCAATTTAAACAAAATAAGTTGTCGAGGCGACGACGTCTCGCCCATTTATGACCCTGACGCCCCCGCCATCATGGCTTGAAACATAGATTGCAATTGCTAGGGAAGTTAAAAGTAGAACGGGAGGCGGGTCGGCGGACATTGCCGACGATTTGCTACTAATCAAAGGATTACCATTGAACCGGTGATGGCATCTTTGAGCAAACCAAGATTTGCATCACGGGATGCACTGAAGATAATCTGTGATAATTTCTGTGATAGAGTAGTTTTAAAGCTTTTATTTTGTTATTTATTTATTTGAAATGTTTTTTGTTAGGATGTTGGGTTCCTGGGTTTTTCTCCCCGACCTGGATTTCTAATTTTATGTCGGTTGTAAACTTAATTGCGTAATCGTGACCCGTAGCAACCCTACGCGCTTCACGGTTGCCTCGATTTAAAATAGAAAAAGAGGGTGGGAAAGAAAAGGCAACAGGAGCCAAACCAGCCGATGTCCTAAACTGGCGGCTATCACCACGGGTGATAGCTAGTCCAGTTGACGAACGGCTAGGTGGTGACGGGAAAATAGGAGTTTTTGAGAAAGCACAAGTCGAGTTAGTTCGGAAGCCCACCGGCGAGGGTCAGTTCCATCTCCCCAAGTCCGGAGTAGTTGAAAGAAAAAAGTAATAAAAAAAACTAGATTTTGAAAGGTGTTGGAAAGTGAGGAAGATTTGTTTATTGTTATTTATTTTGGCTAATAGTTATTTTCGAATTTATTTTGATATTTATTGTAATATTTATTATCGTATTTATTTGTTGTCTTATTTATTTATTTATCATTTTATTTATTATCAAATTAGTAGTTATTAAATATTTATTTAAAAATTCTTGGGAATTATGTCCGAGGGTAAGGACGTCAGAGATAGGCACGGCCACCAGCTAAGGTCGACGGGTCCTCCTGGCGACGAAAAGGACGACATCTGGTACACGGACGTAGAGGGTGCTGCGGAGTTGCCACGGATTTCGCTGGCTGGGGGTTTACCCAGAACGCCGGTAGGCGGTAGTCCTGGATTTGAAGGCAATTGTCGAGGCGCATGATCGAGTTCTGGTTCCGGAGCAGAAGAGTCCGCAAAAGCTGAACACGGAACGGGATACAGCGGCGGAGTCGGCGATGAACGCAGCTCTGGCACAGGCTGCCCAAACCTATCGCGCATCACAGGAGTTAGGAGTGAGCCAGGCGTTGCGGAAAGAAATCAAGAACGGATTCGTCGACATGATGAAGTTGTTGAACGACGTCCTGAGGCCAGCCAAGAGCAAGCCGCAGCCGCTTCAGGAGGGCGCGAGTCGCCAAGTGTCGATGGTGCCCACCCCGTCGTGTCCAGAAGGCGGCGCAAATGGTCCAGCGGAAATTCAGCAGCGGCAGGAGACAGGAGGATGCGACCGAAGGCCGCCGGATCTGCCGCCCAGGCAGCGACCTCGACTGCCGGTAAATGACTCGCCAGGGATCGACAGCAGCCTGAGCCAATAACCGCAGTATCATCCGGCAGGCAGGAGCGATCGCCACGCACGGCCATGGCGCATCGAGGATCGAAGGACGGCGGATTTTCGGGACGAGCCACGGTTATACGCCAACGCGGGAGCCGGCAACGGAAACCGCTACATCCGAGTGGACCGCTGGAACCTCTCATTCGGCGGCGAGGACGATGGCCATTCCGTGGACGACTTCGTGTTCCGTCTGGAGTTCCTGCAGCGGCAGCATCAATGTCCGTGGAGTGAAGTTCTGCGCAACTTCCACGTTCTCTTATCGGGCAGAGCGAAGGAGTGGTACTGGGTACATGTACGCCAGTCCAGAATGGACACTTGGGCCCAGCTGCGCAGGGCTCTGATGGATCGGTTCCGTGGCCACCAGACGGAACACGAAAGGATGCACGAGCTTCTTCAACGTGAGCAACAGCCGGGAGAGAGCGCGGATGACTACATCCATGCGATGCAGCAACTCGCCTCACGCCTAAAAAAACCAATGCCAGAGCGGCAGTTGGTGAAGGTGGTCAAAAAGGGCTTGAGGGACGGCATCGCTAGGTATGTTTACGCGATGGACGTACTCACGGTAGACGAACTTCGGGAGGAGTGCGTCGAAGTAGAGAGGAGTTTCGGTCGTCGAGGGCGTGCTACTTACCTGCAGCAGAACACGGATTCCAAGATTGCGAGTGGAGTGGAGGAGATTTTGTTTCCGGTGCGGCAAGCTGGGCGTGATTTCTCCAAAATGTCCCGATTGCGCGGAAAACGGTCGGCTGGGCAGTCCGAAAGCGGGAGGGACTCGCCCAGGTTGGAATCCCGTGAAGTAGTTCCGAAGAAAGAAGACGAAAACAAGAATATACATAGTTCATCTGATAGTCATAAGTACTTGCTAAGATACCTGCCGGAGGATGAGAGGCTTCGCCGTTATATGGAGGCACGGAACCGGATTTTTGCGGAGCATCAGCTGAGCGGCATGCGTCTAGTCTCGCGACGACGACGAGAGGTGGTTTCGGCCGATAAACTCATTGATTCCGCTGATCCTCGACTAGTGAAATTTAGGAAAAATTAAATACACGTGTACCTTAGATATATATATATATTGATATTTACTTCCCTGTTTGTGAATTTATCCGGAGTTAGACCCAAGAGCCTTATTTGTCCTCGTTGTTTGCCTAAAACTAAAAAGGTCGCGAGCATTAGTTAAATGGTATAGCTTACAGTGCAGTTACGTACCTTTTTTGCGTGTCCCTTCTTTTCCCCTGGAGCTCCTTAGGATTAGGTGACCATGCGAGCTCTACCAATACATGACTGGTAGAGAACAGTTTCCGCGGCGCCTGTATCCTTTTCCAGCAAAACAAATCCTTGGCTAGGTCATCAATAGCCACCAAATTAAACCGATTTTCCCGTCAATATTTGCAGGTATTTACCATTGTTTGCGTTTTTGTTCTTAGTGATGATGAGACAGTGGAGTTATCGATATTTATGTTGCGAGCTGTGGCATTAGGGGTACTCTGCCCTGAGAAAAGACTGAGCTAGCGGCACTGCCACCGAAAAAAAACAGTTCGTAACATATGTTTGTATGTCGGTGCGTTTGTTTGTCACCTGCACAACTAAATTGCAAACGATTTGCTGGAGTAAATTTGTGGATATTGTAACTTTGTTTTTAACTTCGAAAATAATTTAGCCGTATTTGTAGGTCGAGAAATGTAGTTAGAGTGGATTGTATAAGAATGAGTACTTAGAGTGGACTGTATTAGAATATGTATGTAAATATACACACGCAGCTGGAACACAGTAAAAAATAAAGAGTGCAAATCTTAAGGAAAAGTTTTATCATCGGGAATTTTTTACTGTGGCTGAGTTATATTTTACACATAATTGGAATTGAAAATATACTTGAGAAATATTTTAGTTGAAGAGTAGCACTGAAATATCTACTGGAATTGTTTCAAGTGTACAATTGTGGGCAAAAGAAACTGGAATATTGTCGGGCACAAATAACGGGATGGTAATACATATATTCAATGCCGTTGCGTCGGATTAATCACTTTTGGATTTAGACAATATATCATACAGAAAGTTAGTCGAAATAGGGTTCGAAAAACTGGCTGTAGGACCGGCAATTATAGTAAGTGGAACTTATCTGGAGCGGTTCAAGCCTTGCTATAAATGTTTAGGTGTCCTCTTTGGAGGCTTAAGTTCCCTAAACAGGTTTGTGCTTCTTTTATGCCGTGAACCTCCGCCTGAAAGACGCTACAGTGGTCCGGGAGCCTAAATGACTTCCTGATATCTAATTGTTCGGAGTATACACCTCCGCTAACTTGTCCTTCTAATTTGGAGCCATCTGTATAGAAGCAGATTGCGTCCGTCATGCCAGGTCGGCCTGCTCCCATTCTTCTCTATCTGAAAATAGGGCCTCAAAGGGTGTGTGACTATATTCAATGGATTTGCATAGATCCGTTATCTTCGGAATCGATTTATCATGCTGGAGAATTTTAGCATGGCCATAAAATTGGGCTTTCCACTGCCCTGTGTCCTTCAGTCGAATAGCTGCCGATTTGGCCCTTTCCATGCCTGCTAAGTCCAGGCTAGGGAGGTTCAAGATCGCATTCAGCTCTTCATTCGGGGTGGTTCGAAGGGCTCCACTAATACACAAAGCCGCCATTCGCTGTACTTTATTTAGAGGAGTCAGTATGCATTGCTTGTGCAGGACGGTCCACCACAGAGCCACTCCGTATAGAAGGATTGGCTTGACTACCGCTGTGTATATTCAGTTGACTATTCTAGGGGACATGCCCCATCTTAGCCCAATTGCTTTTTTACAGGAGTAAAGTGCAATGGTCGCTTTCTTGGTTCTCTCTTGGTTATTTAAGCCCCATTTGAGGCGCTTATCTAATACTAACCCCAAGTACCTGGCGTGATCGCTAAAAGAGAGATTACAATTGCTTAGAATGGGTGGGTTGAAATGTGGAATTTTGTATCTATTTGTAAATATAACAAGTTTCGTTTTCGAGGGATTTACCCCGAGTCCGTTCGCTATCGTCCATTCCGATAGTATTTTAAGTTTAGCGGTCATAAGATCGCAAAGTGTTTGTGGACATTTTCCATTAAAGATGATGGCGACGTCGTCTGCGTATGCCACAACCTTACAACCTCCTCCTTCCAGAATCCGCAGTAGTCTATTTACTGCGATATTCCACAAGAGGGGTGATAGTACACCTCCTTGCGGGGTGCCTCTGTTCACTAGTCTAGTCTGGGCTGAGGTCCCTAGTGTGGCTGTGACCATTCTGCTTATCAGCAATTTATGGATTAGCCTCACCATTGGCGGCTCAACCCCTAGGTTTGTGAGAGATTCTGTTATTGCAGTGGGGAGCACGTTATTGAAGGCTCCCTCTATATCCAGGAAGGCGATCAGTGTGTATTCCTTGATGCTGAGTGATTTCTCGATGCTGCTTACCACCAAGTGTAGCGCCATTTCGGTTGACTTACCTTTGGTGTAAGCGTGCTGTGCTTCTGATATTTGTGTCGGGACTACGGTGGCCCTTATGTGAAGACTTATCATTCTTTCAAAGCTCTTAAGCAGGAATGATGTTTGGCTTGTTGGCCTAAAATCCTTTGCTGTGGTGTAAGTGGCCTTTCCTGCCTTGGGAATGAAAACCACCTTTGTTTCTTGCCACGCTGTTGTTGCAGAAGGTCTGCCATGCATTTCGTTTTGCTCTTCTAATGGCCTTTTTGTAAGAGCCTAGTTCATACTTGGAGTTCAGCCAGTTAGTGTCCGTATTTCCCGCCTTTGCTCTGTTAAAAAGGCATCTGCAGTTGGTTCTGAGGATTGATAGTTGTTGGGTCCACCAGGGGGGTTTTTCCTTCCCTGTGGGGCATGCAACATTGACGGTAGTGTTGCATGCCTCTGTGAATTTATTTACTGTTCCGTCCAGCTCCTGTGGGCTTGTGATGCTTTCTGACGGTTCCATAAGGAGGATATTCGTCAGAACATCTTTGTACCTGTGCAATCGGCTCGTCTGGGGTTAGCGAAGCTGACCGGCAAGGGCGAATCAAGGGACAATACAGTTTTTATGAATCTATGGTCCGAAAAGGAGTGCTCGTCAGAGACTGATACCAAAAATAGATCTATGATCGTTTGGCAAGCTTTAGTTATGACATTGCTCCTATTGCATAAGAATAGGTTCGAATTTAGAATAAAATCAAACAGAGACTCACCTCCGTCGTTGTTGTTTGGGCAACCCTACTGGGTGTGATGGGCGTTGGCGTCACAGCCTATTACCAATCCGTTCTTGAGCTTTTTGCATTCCTCTGCTAGTCCTCTGACCAGCGCATCTGGGGGCTTTTCCTTCTCAAAGGCCAAATAGGCCGATAGAACCCTTATAGAGCCACTCTGCAGCTCCAGGCTTACTGCGGTGTTGTCTCCGTTGCTGTAATTGCGAAGTAGAAATATACTAAGATGCCTTTTGGCTAATATGCAGGTTCGAATTTTACCTTCTTTGGGGTCAAGCACAAGCTTGTATTCCTTTGTTCCTAGTCCAGCAACCTTGCCTCCTACTACTGTACGAGGACTAGGTCGGCTCCGCCTTCTGTCAGGCGAAGCAGAAGTGCAGCAGACGCTGCTTTACTGTGGTGAAGGTTTATTTGTAGAAGTCTTAATGACATCTACAGCTTCAACCTCCACCATAGTGACGTCGGCCTCCTCTGTGTCGCTGAGCGCTCGCATCTCTCTGCTAAGCGACGAATCGGTGGAGTAGCCGTCCTCCGACCCACCAGGTGCCTCCAACTCCTCAGCAAGCACCTGATCGGCTGGGTTACCGGCAGAGCTGCTAGCGGCACTGGAGTCGCCCTTATACACCTTGATGTGGATCGCACTGAATTCGAAGTCCGAGAAGTCTCAATCGGAGCAACTGACTCCTTGTTCAGGACCAGCACCGCCTGGTTGACATCCCCTTCATGCTCCTCCACCTTGACGACTTTCCAGTCCTTCGTGGGGAGGTGCGGGTTGCATTCTTGCACCATGAAGAGGATGTCCTCCGGTGCCTTGATAGCTGCTGGAAGCCAAATCCTGGCTTGGGGCCTACTGGGGACATCACACCAGTCTAGTGCCCACTCTACCTTTTTTAGTCATTCAGGCGAAGGTGTGGCAACGTTGCTCCTATTATGAGTGCGCAGAGTCTGGGAGCCGGCAGTCCGCCTTTCTGCGTAAGTATATTTATTTGCTTCAGCGGGTGGCCCGAGCGCCTTGAGCGCCTTGGGCGACGTGCATAGATGTTTATTGGTTTACTTTGAAATAGGAACTCGTTAGGCTTAACTTAACTTAAGCGCTCCAGAGCGGAGCGGAGACTCAAAGAAGAAATAGAGAGACAGAGCGGACGGCAGTGCGAGCGCGCGAGATGTAGACATCTGGATAAAACTGCCGCTCGACACTGCCTCCTCAAATTAAACGCCCTTTTGACGTAAACAGGCATCATTTACAAATACAAATTTTAACTGAAAGCTATTGCTTGACTGACCCAACAAAATGTTGCCAACCCCACTATAACACCCACAAACCCCCATAACGCTAAAACTTATCTGACGTTCAATGAACAATTTTGCAATCTTCGCTAGGTGTGGCCTTGAAATCTCGAAAAAACATCGCATTGCGACTTGCATACCACCATCTCCCTTCCGCATTCTTAAGCTGAAAATCGGGTATCTGATAGCTGAGGCACTCGATCATAGCATTCTTTCTTTTTTTATATGAAGGAAACTTTTTGGTTAATTTCTGATTTTGGTGTCTTAAAGTAAATTATTAATTTTTTGTTATTTTAAAAACTATAATAACTTAAAAAATGACGGAATTATAGCCAAACTACTCGTATCGATTTCAATGCCTTGCGGTGCTCATGATCCCGGAAGAACGCTTTATTTTAAATCGAAAATGAAGAAAGGAATTTGAAAAATTTCGATTACAGCGGAAATGGCGGAAGTTTGACCGAAATAAGTGGTAACAACAAGATAATTCTCTTGTTTTAATAAGTAGCAGACAACGTAAGCGGAGTTAAAGTTTTTCCGGATCTGTGTCCACCGCAAAACCATTTTCGAGAAAACACCGTATTCTCGATTGGTATTTTAAGTTAACTGCTTCTGTTTGATGAATGTTTTAAGTTCACTGCTTCCGGTAGCTATAAAATCCCACATCTTCGGTTCTAACGGTTCGTTACGTATTATTTTTTGTGTGAGTTTTCTTAAAATTATGTACTGTAAGGTAAAGAAAAAATCTCATTTTTAGCGGATACAAGTGTGTTTAACCACTAAAAAAAGAGTCCAAAGTATTAATATTATAAAAGTTTCGACAATTTGAAATGTGCTTTGTTTATGTCGTGATCGGCAACTGTTGTTCATGTCAGTTGTTTTTGGATAGCTGAGTGGGCATCGGAATTTCACATTGGCCAAAAAGCCCACTCTTTGGGAAAGGATATTAACGTCATAACTTGACGTAA